AAAAAAAAGAAAAGGAAAAACATTCATTACAACGGATGACCTTTGAGTGACATGAGCATTTTAGCTGTCACAACATACACAGACCATTACCATAAGAGTAATGATTAATGATAATATCACCTTGGTATTTCCAATGCCCCAAGGGAAGGAATAACAAGGAATCTGTCTGAGTTAGGGCCTTTATTAGTATCAGTTTTTATCTGAGTGTCATTCAAACAGAGCACAAGGCACGCACCCACACACCTGTAATGCCAGCACTCTGGGAGGCTAAGGCAGGAATATTGTAGATTTGATCCCAACCTGGGTGACTGGCCAATTTAGCAAGACTGTGCCTCAAAGTAAAAAATTAAAAAGAGCTGGATAGTTAGCTCTGTGCCAAGGCCCTGGATTTAATATCCACTACCAAAAAAGAAAAAAAAAGTATAGAGCAAGCATGCCCATGTTATTATAATATGGACAAAAGACATTCTCTGGGGAAGAGTTAAAGTGCTGTCTTTTTTCAGAACCAGGGATTGAACTCAGGCTCTTGCATTTGCCAGGGAAGTGCTTATTCCACTGAGCCATCTCCCTAGCCCCAAAGTGCTATCTTTAACACCAAACCTCCAGTCTTCTTGCAGACCCAGTGTGACCCCTCCTGCTTTTGAGACGTACCAAGTTATACCTGGCCTAATGCCTGATGGAGTACAGGGGTGACAGGGTTTCTTTTCTAATCAACTACCAGAAAGGAAGAGACTTAACAAAGAGAGAGAGAGAGAGAGAGAGAGAGAGAGAGAGAGAGAGAGAGAGAGAAAAGAACAAGCTTGCCAGGGCATGGAGGTACATGCCTTTAATCCCAGGACTCGGGAGGTTCAGGCAGCAGTTCGAGGCCAGCCTGGGCTACATAGTGAATGCAAGGTCAGCCTGAACTATATAGTGAGACCCTATCTCAACACCCTCCCCAAATAAAAGCTCCCTCTTACTGGAATCTTAGTAGAATTCTACTTAATTCTTTTTAGGTTAAAAAAAAAAAAAACATAAAACACTCTAAAAATGGTTTCCCAACTCTCCAATCTAGAAACTGGCTAAAAATGTGGATAGTTGGAGCTCACTCCACAACCATATCTCTTCTGATCTGTAAATCTGGTAGAGGGCCTGGAATCTGCTTATTATTGCAGACAAATCTCTGACATGAGCACTTAAAGTTCTGTGATAACATTCTAACATTTTCTCCTGTCTCATCTTGCATCAGTTCTGCTAGGCTGGTTTCTGCCTGTTTTTCTTAGTTCTGCCATATGTTTTCAATGTCCAGAAAATACTTGTGCCCAAGAGAGGTTTCTCCCTGTCCCACTTCAGGGCCATCCTCTATCTCCCTGAGTTGCTTCTTTCTTTCCTGTACACACTGGGAAGGAAGCTAAGTACAGCAGACAGGTAAGAGAGAATCAAGACATTATGGTACCAGACAGTGATAATAAAAGCTACAGCTTTGAAAAACTGACTGAGAACCAGTCAGACAGCTATGTGCTGGTGACACAGTCTTCCTGAAAGCTAAGCACAGTTATTCATAGTAATCATATCAAAATGTCAATATTCAATGGGATTATTGGCCAGAAAAGCATCGGCAGACTTTTAATGAATTTTTAATAGTTGATTCCTTGAAATAGTAAGGGATGTACTTCAAGCACACTAGGTCTCCACCTCTGTCTTGACACTTGCCCACAGCATAAAAGAACTGCACGTATCGCTGTTATTATTAGGAAAGTGCCCCGAGCTATCCAAAGCAAGTGGGAAAGCCTTCTTCTCCTGTCCATCGCCATGACAGCCAGCCAACTGCTGCCCAGCTCCCCCAGAGACTCTCCCTCAGGAAGAGAGAAGGACAAGCTAGGAGAACATTGATGCCTAATGCTTGAAATTATTAACTGAAGGGCAGAAGAGTTGAGAACAAGTAGATGTTTTGACATAGCTCACATCACAGAAAGAAGCTCTTTTCTCAATGGTTGACTTTAAAGAAGTTCTATCCCATGCACTTAGAATCCAGATCTTCAGGCTCAAAATCCAACTATGTACACATTTCACTAGCTCACCCTGGAATCTGACAGACTTAAATCTCATTTACAGTTTACTTTGCATTAAAAGAAAAAATTTGGGTCTGGAGAGATAGCTCAGTGGTCTAAAGCACCTGCTCAGACAAGCTTAGGCAAAGCACAGGGGCCACGGTTCGATCCCCAGCACCACATGCCATGGCAGTCCCGTTCCCAGAGTGGGCTGACCTGGCCACAAAAAAAAGAAAAAGAAAAAGAAAAGAAAAAAATTTTAGTAACCTCTGGATAAACTCAATAACTACTTTCGATGTTTATAGCTGGATACCCAAGTATTTTGAATGGTATTTTGAGCTTTAAACAGCTTATGAAAATGTTAGTAGCAAAAAGGCCTTAATAGCACAGAACTTTTGATATAATCATTTTAGCATCAGACATCCTGTAAACTAGTTGTTTTTATATATCATATTATATTTGATCTTTGTAAAGCCAACAAAAGTCAAGATCTGAGGTCTTGGTTGCTGAAGAGATGACAGAGGTCACCCTTTGAGAGATTTCTCCGAGCGAGAACTTCAGAAGGAGTCCAAAAGCGTTCAACTTGCTGTGCTCCAAAGGGTGAACAAGCAGGTCATCTCCTCAGGGCCTCTGCTCAGCTAGTATCTAAGGACTGGCGGAAAAATGTGTCCGTTTTTAACTGAATTGTACTTCCGGCTCATTGTAGTAGGCATAGCTCTTTCATTTCAGTACAGTATTTTTGTGTCCAAAACAAAATATTTAACCATGGCCATATGATACTCTGAATATTCTGTATGCTTGCAAACGCCATGACTACTTACCATTTTGTGATGAACATTTAAAACTGGGATCGTGATCTATACCAACGCTATAAGATCAAAGCTTTTCTCCCAGCCTTAGCTACAGTATATTTTAGTGAGATTTTTGTTTGGGGACGTTAAGAAAGTACAATCCCTATAGATAGTCATTTAGCTTCAGTTATCTGTTCTAACTACGTTATATGCAAAAAAGAAGATACCCATTTGTTATCTGTTGTATTGATTCCGATCTTACTCCTGGAGATGCCTTCCTCCTATTGTCTACTGAATTCCCTAAAATCTCCAAGCAAGCAAGGCTTAAATTAAGGCGGCTAACACATTTTATACTTACGGGCTGGAATCTTTGATCTGTGTCTCCAATCAGAGGAGAAATTCTTACGGCTACCCTAGTTCCAAAGGTTATTGCGGTGTACAAAGCACACAGTAGTTGTACTGTCTGGCCTAAAAGGTTATATTCTGATGCCTGCTTTTTCCTTTACCTTTTTTTTTTTTTTTTTTTGCAGAACTGGGGATTGAACTCAGACCCTTGAGCTTGCCAGGGAAGCACTTATTCCACTGAGCCATCTCCCCGCTCCTTCCTTTACTTTTAAAGCTTTCCTGTTTCCAATGGACCTAAGAGTCAAATGCTTTATCTTTTGATAGAGTTTTTACTGCAATTGCCTATGGAGCGATGGCCATTGGAGAAACACTTGTCATGGCACCTGAGTATTCCAAAGCCAAATCTGGAGCTGCACATCTGCTTGCTTTATTGGAAAAGAAACCAACTATAGACAGCTGCAGTCAAAAAGGGAAGAAACCAGTAAGCACAACTACAATTTAAGTATCCACTTATTAGATGAAGAAACTATTTGTTAACTCTACAAAAGATGGTTCTAGCAACATAAAGAGTTAAAAGTTCATATAAAAGAATTTTATGACTATAAAAAAGGAATGGAAGGGCCAGCCAAATAGTTCAGCAGATTAAAGAGCCTGCAAGCAGGCCCAGGGGCTGGGTGTTCAATCCCCTGGTCTGCCATGCCAGCTCCACCCTCCCCTCCCGCCCCCAGTGCTGAGACTGGGCGTGGTGGCGTGTGCCTGTAATCCCAGCACTTGGGATGCTGTAAACAGGAACTGCGCTATGAGTATGATCTAGTAGTGAGACCCCGAATAACCTGTAGAGCCTTCCCTAAGATACAGAAAAAAACAAAAATAAAAATAAAAAATAAAAAAGGAATGGAGTCTTGTCTCAGATTTTCTCCTCTATATTAAAATATACACTTCTAATTTATTTGCTTGATCCCATGAAAATATTCTTAAAACAGAATTAATTTGAATACTGAAGTGTATTCAGACAGCAACAGTTTTAGTCTTGCATGGAGGCTTATATTAGATTTTATGTACTTTTTCTTCTGATAATATATGCAAGTAAATAATGTCCTATAGCTATTT